ATATATATATTCATTCATTACCATAAATCAGATGTATAGAATTTACAATGCAATCCAATGAAAAAATACAGTGCTGGATACTAAGTAATTACATGTAATCTGGATAACATAATCAGAAATAAACTACATTATATTACATTTTAAAATGCACATAGTCAGATTACAGTTACTTTTTTATAGAATACATGATTACATATTATTTCACACAATGGCAGTAAATTATTCATAATTTGATTTGGCCTAATTCTTCTTTTTTTTATCTCTATCAAAATGTTACCACTTTAATACATTTGGAAAGTCTTCCATCTTTTCATCACCTCACGAACCCATTGTAGTTCATTCACGAACCCCAGTTTCAGAAATATTGGCATAACATAATGTTTAATACACTTCCAAAGAATGGAATCTATTTTAGATAAAAAAAGTAATCTAAAAGTAATCAGAATACATTACCTAATATGTGTAATCCAAAACATTGTTATAAACTAGAATTTCCATCATGTAATTTGTAATCAGTAACAGACTACAATTTGTAAGTTTTCTACCCAGCACTTTATAGTGAATATAACATGATAAACTTTGACTAGAGCATAAAAAAACATAAAAATGAACATTGACATATAGAGAGGTCATTTCTCAGTTTTGTTTTTAACTTTTTTCTGTTCTCTTTTGCATCGATTGCCCTGTTTCTACAGGCCGAGCTACAGAAGATGAGGCAACAGGCTCAGGAGACGAAGCAGTTCATTGAGAAACAGGAGGCAGAGGAACGCGAGCTGCTGAAGATCATAGCAGAGGCTGATGCTGAGAGGATTCGGCAGAAAAAAGAGCTCGATCAGGTACAGACAGGTGCAAGGTTTCAGTGAGTGTCCGCGTGTCCTTGTGTTCCTTCTTCAATAGGCTGTTTACGCTAAAGATGAAAGAGACAGTAATCTAGGTTCACTCAAAAGTCATTAGATCTGGAATATCACTTCTGAGAAAGTCCAGCGGGAACAGGGTTAACCTCTCTTTAAAATAGCAAAAGGAAATTGAGTCACTGGGGAGGCCTAAATTGGTCTTGGCATTTTGAAACATTTAGTGCTTCTGATCTCAGTAAGTCAGCAGTCGAACATGATTAACCAGCTGACTAGTCATTCAATATAGTACAATTCAAATAGTAGGCACTGGTGTGATGATCATTTTTTTGTGTCTTAATCTGTTAAGTTTATACAAAAACAATTTAAATATGCCTCTTATGATGAACATACTTTCAGTTACTGGTTTAAAGTATAGTTTTATATTCTTTGGGAGGGGGTTTAAGGTCTAAAATATCTAGGGGATGTCAGGAGAATGCTTTGAGGACGAAATTTGAAATTTAAAATTGAAAGGCTTTACAATAATTTTAGCCTAATCTTTTATTACAGTAATATGTCTTCTTAAAAGCGGTGAAATGTTTTTTTTTTCTATCAAAATTTTTTTAAAAATTATTATTATTTTAGAAAATGTTGAGGGTATGGTTGTGCATCAAAGTCAGTAGGCTTTTTTTTTTGTGTCTTCGTTTGTCTTTTCATGATGTGAAAATATTAGTTCAGTTCTTTGAGAAATACATTCAGTGAATAACCTTATTAAAACATCATGATATTGAAGATTTAAAAATGATAATATTTGTACTAAATACTGTTTACCTTTAAAATGTATTTATTTATTCATTTATCTATCTATCATAATGATAAAAAATTAATACACTTAGACTCAAGATGTAAGGAAAAGTCAGCACATCATAACAAAAATGTATGAAACCAAAGTTGACTTAATTTTATTTCAGATATCCTTGTTTGTCTTTTAGCTGAATTAAATTTAGACGTATATGTAGCTTCGGCTGTAGGCTTGACTATTAGTTTTTATGGAGAAGAAAACAAAAGGCTTCATAAATACTTTTTTAACACATTCAGTAACATCATTTTTTTTACAGCATCTTTGGTAAGTCATTCAGGTCACTATTAGAGATCATAAATTGAATGTAATGTTAATATCTACTGCTGTACATTGCTAACATTGGTTCTTTGGTAAAGGTTAACCCATTCAAAGGGCATTCTGTCCAAATTGCCTCTGCTGACGCCAGCTTTCATACTCTTCTGGCTATCCATACACATCAATAAAGCTTCATCGTCTGTACATCCCTGAGCTCCCCAAACCATATTGTATACTGTATGTGATACAACTAATACCTTATACATAACATGCATTACATATATAGCTGTACATTTCAGCATTGCAGAATTTTGTGCATACAGTTTAGTTTAGTGAAAGTTGAGAAAGAAAGTCAATGACCATTTTACATAACTTCCTTCCTAGTATATATGGTGTGTAGAATAACACAAAAATGATTTAGATCAAAGGAAATGTTATATTTATTTATTGCGTATGGCCTTCAAAGTGTTTCCCCTGACTTTTTGTTAAAATCCATTAATGCAAGAAATAAAAGATGAGCAAAAGGTAAAATCCAAAATCTCAATAAACTAGCTTAGGTGGTGAGGAAACACAGGCGTAGTAGGCTCAAGACTGAACACAGGTGAGCAAATGGGGCACGCTTAAATAGGCCAACATTAATTGGGTAAAGACACACGGCTGGGGGCATTCAAGTCCTAATGAGTAGTGATGTATCTATCAACAGAAGCTAGGGCCACCTAGTGGCTAGGAGTGTTATTGCATAGAACCAGTGTAAGCGAAATGATGGGGAGTGTTACTAGTTAGTGCCAACTAGAGGTTGGGAGAGTCATTGCAATCATGGAGAGTTCTTCCAATCTGGGCCTTACAGAATGGAGGGCATTCTGTCCAAATTGCCTCTGCTGACGCCAGCTTCCACACTCTTCTGGCTATCCATACACATCAATAAAGCTTCATCGTCTGTACATCCCTGAGCTCCCCAAACCATATTGTATACTGTATGTGATACAACTAATACCTTATACATAACATGCATTACATATATAGCTGTACATTTCAGCATTGCAGAATTTTGTGCATACAGTTTAGTTTAGTGAAAGTTGAGAAAGAAAGTCAATGACCATTTTACATAACTTCCTTCCTAGTATATATGGTGTGTAGAATAACACAAAAATGATTTAGATCAAAGGAAATGTTATATTTATTTATTGCGTATGGCCTTCAAAGTGTTTCCCCTGACTTTTTGTTAAAATCCATTAAGTAAAAGACCCTAAAACTTCTTTATAAGACATTTTCCCGAACCTTCACAACATTTGTCTTGTTGCATTAAGTTTTTGGCTATTATCCTGAAAAGACTAACACTGCTGAGTCATCAAATCTTTGCAGAAAACACTGGCCTGCCTTTTATTTCTATAATATATCGTCTCACCTCAGTCAGAGGTGAAAGTACTTTGAAGGTTTTCTCACAGATGCTTGAAGAGGTGTTAAAAGTACCAGAACTTTGGTACCAAGCTGGGAAAAAATAAAGGGAATGTAACAAAAGAGCTAGCATTTATACACAATCAATGATCATTAACTGACAGGATAGTGAAATTTCACAGTTTTTTGGTTTTACTAATGACTTAGAATGTTGCCTTTTATCTACATTTGTGTATTGACTGTGTATTTCTGTGTTTGTTTTCAAGGTGAGAAATGAGCGTGACCTCCTGGGGATGCAGTTGATGAAGAGAAACGAAGCACTGGCATTACTGTACGAAAAGATCAAAATCCAGCATTCCATCATGAACAAGGGGGATATTCAGTACAATGAAAGATTGGAGGATATCAGACTCCTGAAGCTAGAGATCAAGAAGCAAAGACGAGAAAAGAACATCCTCAACAAGACCGTCTCTAATGTGGAGGACCTCAGGTAACACACATTTCTTTTCAAAGTTTCTGTCCACATATAGAAGTGTTTCGGTTTGACGTTGCACACTAAGAGTAGGCTTAGGGCGGTTTCACACTAAAACGTGTTTGACGTCAGAGATTGATTCGTTTGGTTGGTGTGAAGGCTGTTTACGGTTCATGTGGAATGGAGTAAGCCTGAAAGGAATCTGGCTTAATGTTGTGTAAGTGAATCACTTTTGATGCACTTTTGAACCACTTTATGACTTATATACAGCTATAATTTCTTTTTTTTTTTGAAACATCTATTGCTCTAAAACCTTATGGAAGCAGGTGCTCGATCGCTTTTCTGCAACACTCATGTACTCTTCAGAGGTATAATGACATAATGATTATGCCTCAATCATAGGTACATAAAGCACAAAGAGATGGAGCTAATTGAGTGCCTGTCAGATAATTCTCTTGTCAGTATTGACCCCCGCTAGATGTTTATTGATGTTTTCAAAAGCTGTAATTCACCACTCTCAATAACAGTCACTTTTTCGGTCACAAAAGACGTGCGATAAAAATCACTTTTAATGGAGTTCTTAGCTGAGTAAAAAGGAGGCGGCAAGAGCTCGCTGTGGAAAATGAGGGAGCGTTTGAAAGCACTGGCAGGTCTCGCATCTAAAGTCAAACCCGATCTATAATAGATGGGTTTTACTAAGCTTCTGTTGGTTATTTTAGTAACATAAGGGGTGGTGATGACCTCACATTCTCCTCCATATCTCAAGCCAATGCAAAATCACTAAATATTCAATGAGTCAGAGTCTGAATTATGTACTGAAATTTCCATCGCCCCAAAATGATTTAATTAATTTAACCAGGTTCTCTCCCGTGAATAAGAAAGACAGTCACCAAAAGAGAGATTTTCTTCTTCTCCTTTTTTGGTTACATTTCACTGATCTTTATCAACCACTTAAATGAGCAAAAATCTCTATATACATTCAAAAATTTAAAAAGAAGTGATAACAAGCAACCAATTTGTTCAAAAACACTGATTCCGGAACAACAAAAATGTTTTT